GGAATTATTGCCCCGGCTCCGGGTTGGAGATATCCGTTCTACAAAGTGACTGAGATGTCAGCTGGTTACGTGTGAATATAATATCACCGAGACCAAGGTGGCGAAGCGTTCCCGCCGCGTGCGCTGTGACTGCGTGCTTCACAGGTTTAAAAATACAGAACCGCAGCCGCAATTTTATAACCACAAGACCGATGGAGCATTAACCCCGCGATGTGACTTGTTCACTGCACAGCACTGCGGTATATGTCAGAGCTATATATATGTATAATAATAGTAACGCAGTATATAAAGTGTTCCTGGTGTACGGTGACACGTGACGAGGGGACATTTTTAGAAGTCACTCATGGAGCCCTCGGCATTGTGTACACGAGGAACGATGGCGGCCGCCCACACACAGCATCCTATTTATTTCAGCTTTCGGCTAACAAGGTGATTCAGCCGAATTCTTCTTTCATCTCATCGGGGTCAATGTAATGACTTCCCGCCCTCTCTCTGGAGCCATCGCACGGTGACCCCGCTACTCTGGTTACATTCTTCTTGTACTTTTGTTGAATTCCAGACACACAGCCGCAGGAAACACATAAATTGGGGTTGTTTTACCTGAATTTGTGTTTCTGTCCATCCATGTCGGATATTTACACAGTTTTGCCACACAGCGCCGTCAGCCTTCTGATCTAGAGCATTGGATACTTCCAGTGTGGCCCTCAACGCACGCCGGGGACCCTTCCTCTGACCCCCACACACATCAAGATTTAGTTTCTCTATTGGACAGTTCTCAGTGTCCTCACAGTGCGGGAGCTGTCCACGTGCTGAAACAAGAAATGCAGCGCTGAGAGAAAATGCCGCTCACCACAAAGTACAGAGGTTGCTGGTGCATTATTTGGCAATGGTGCATTATTTGGCAATATATATTGAAGTGTTTTCCACACATGATGAGGATAGGTGTGCGGACCCGTATTGTCCCCACACACCATGTGACATATACCTGCCGCAGGAGGGACACCACCAGGAGAGGACAAACACCCCAGAATCATGGACGTCCTCCTGTAATGCTGGCGGTGGGAAGACATTTGTCACTGGTTGTTAGGAGCGCCCAGCGGTCCTAGCAACCATTGACTACAGAGGAGCAGGACCGGTGACGTCATTGGTTACCAGGATGCTAGCGGACCTAGCAACCAACAACTGAAGAGGAATGTGGTCTGGACATGGACCTGCACTGGGCTATGTCCTGCAGTGGATGCACCTGCCTTGGAGCTTGGCGTATCCAATGTCAGCGAGCCATAAATGAGCACAGGTTGGCGATCGGTCCCTTAGACCAGAGCTGGGCATTTTACGGCCCGCGGGTCTGGCCTGAGGGATAGCTAGATTTCCACCAGGGACCACCTAATGGGAGCTTGGGCTTAGCTGCAGTCTACCCCTAGGCCAGTTAACAGACACTCAGGGATACAGTGGAGAGTTGGTTTCGAATAGCTGGAACATGGGAGTGGCGAGGGGGCTCTGTGCAGCTGGAAGTGGAGCTGATCCTGGTGGTGAGGGGAATGCAGAGAAAGTGAAGTGGAGGATCAGATTTTAGTTGCATTGAAGGCTGAGGTGGTGCAGCTGAAATTACAAGTGTATCTGAGGTGCAGCAAAGTTGTGATAGTTGCTTGAAGCAAAGTTGTACTAGGAGCAAGGTTGCACTAGGAGCAAGGTTGTACTGTGAGCAAGGTTGTACTGGAAGAAAGGTTGCACTGGGAGCAAGGTTGCACTGGGAGCAAGGTTGCACTGAGAACAAGGTTGCACTGAGAGCAAGGTTCCAGTGGGAGCAAGGTTGCACTGGGAGCAAGGTTGCACTGGGAGCAAGGTTGCACTGAGAACAAGGTTGCACTGGGAGCGAGGTTACACTAGGAGCGAGGTAACACTGATAGTGAGGTTACATTGGGAGCAAGGTTGCACTGGGAACAAGGTTCCAGTGGGAGCAAGGTTGCACTGGGAGCAAGGTTATACTGGGAACGAGGTTACACTAGGAGCGAGGTTGCACTGAGAGTGAGGTTACATTGGGAGCAAGGTTGCACTGGGAACAAGGTTCCAGTGGGAGCAAGGTTGCACTGGGAGCAAGGTTATACTGGGAGCGAGGTTACACTAGGAGCGAGGTTGCACTGAGAGTGAGGTTACATTGGGAGCAAGGTTGCAGTGGGAAGGAGGTTGCATTAGGAGTTAGTTTGCACTAGGAGCAAGGTTGTACTGGGAGTGAGGTTGCACTGGGAGCAAGGTTGCACTGGGAGCAAGGTTGTACTGGGAACAAGGTTCCAGTGGGAGCAAGGTTGCACTGGGAAGAAGGTTGCATTAGGTGGTAGTTTGCACTAGGAGCAAGGTTTTACTGGGAGCATGGTTGTACTGGGAGCAAGGTTGTTCTGGGAGTGAGGTTGTACTAGGAGCGAGGTTGTACTGGGAGCAAGGTTGTACTGGGAGCAAGGTTGTACTGGGAGCGAGGTTGTACTGGGAGCGAGGTTGTACTGGGAGCGAGGTTGTACTGGGAGCAAGGTTGCACTGGGAGCAAGGTTGTACTGGAAGCGATGTTGTACTGGGAGCGAGGTTGTACTGGGAGCGAGGTTGCATTGGAAGCAAGGTTGCACTGGGATCAAGGTTGTACTGGAAGCGATGTTGTACTGGGAGCGAGGTTGTACTGGGAGCGAGGTTGCATTGGAAGCAAGGTTGCACTGGGAGCAAGGTAGCACTAGGAGCTCAGGTACCGGTAACTTAATCCTTGAGAGGTGACAGTAAGTACCCATGGGTGGGGGACACTGAGGAGGCATCACCGATGGAGGGGGGTAAGTAAGAGTCGGATATACCATGCAAGTATATATAATGTATACAATGTACTGATATATATTTCCGTGTTGTGTGTTAGTAAATACAGGCCTCATGTACGGGATCCCGGCAGCTGATTCAGTAACACATCTTTACTGATTGGCAGAGTAACATGAAGGCCATTCCTGTGGATGGATATGTGAGATTTGGGCTGACTGACCCTAGGTAACCCCGTCCTCACAGTCCCTGTCTTGTCTGGCTCTGTCCCCCAGGGAGGTGGTGGAGATCGACCTGTTCCTGAAAGAGACGGCGAGCCGGGAAGCCAACGCCAAGGTGCGCCTGCAGCAGTTCATCGAAGAGCTCCTGGACCGAGCGGACCGGGCCGAGAAGCAGCTGCAGATCATCAGCAGTTGTGGGTCGACTCCGAACGGCAGCCTGGGGAGGTGCAGCATCCCCGGATACAAAGCACAGGAGCCCCGCGTCCAGGGACCCAGGCAGGTACTGTGCGGCCATGCGGACGGAGACACGGACAGTCTACATTGCACTCTGTGTTACTGATGTCTTTATAGTGACTCTGTGAAGAGATGACGTGATAGGAAACAACAGTTCCCCCGTCTGGAAATGACTTTATAAATGTAGTAGATCCCCTGGGAGTCCTCCATCATTCATCTTAAAGTGATCCTGTGCCCACATCCTCTGGGAGTCCTCCATCATTCATCTTAAAGTGATCCTGTGCTCAGATCTCCTGGGAGTCCTCCATCATTCATCTTAAAATGATCCTGTGCTCAGATCCTCTGGGAGTCCTCCATCATTCATCTTAAAGGGATCCTGTGCTCAGATCTCCTGGGAGTCCTCCATCATTCATCTTAAAGTGATCCTATGCTCACATCCCCCAGGAGTCCTCCATCATTCATCTTAAAGTGTTCCTGTGCCCAGATCCCCTGGGAGTCCTCCATCATTCATCTTAAAGTGATCCTGTGCCCAGATCCCCTGGGAGTCCTCCATCATTCATCCTAAAATGACCCTGTGCCCACATCCCCTGGGAGTCCTCCATCATTCATCTTAAAGTGAACCTCTGCCCACATCCCCTGGGAGTCCTACATCATTCATCTTAAAGTGATCCTGTGCCCACATCCCCTGGGAGTCCTCCATCATTCATCTTAAAGTGATCCTGTGCCCACATCCCCTGGGAGTCCTCCATCATTCATCTTAAAGTGATCCTGTGCCCACATCCCCTGGGAGTCCTCCATCATTCATCTTAAAGTGATCCTGTGCCCACATCCCCTGGGAGTCCTCCATCATTCATCTTAAAGTGATCCTGTGCACATATCCCCTGAGAGTCCTCCATCATTCATCTTAAAGTGATCCTGTGCACACATCCCCTGGGAGTCCTCCATCATTCATC